ATGTTTTGCATCTTTTCGCCCATTCTTTTCTCCAAAGCTTTCAGTTCGAAAGCTTTCTTAGAGTCGCGGAACCTAAGGTATCTAGCAATACATACAAGGCTCCTAATCCTGGTTTACATTCCAACCCCAATCTCTTTTTATTTTTTAACTGGATTGGGGGTAGGAGATTGGAGAGAAGAGCATCATTAGTTACCAATGTTTCAAAATGCCTAGGCACTGGGTGTATGAGAGAAAACTGAGCAGTGAGAGTAGCCTCCCACTGGGTTCTGGCACAAGAAAGTTCAGGACATCTAGTTATTACTGGAAACAAGAATCTTTTCAGAAGTATCTGTGGTAGCGTTAAAAGGAATAAAGAGAATGACGCAAAGACAGGATTTTCTAGTTGGAAAAGGCCCAAAGTCCATGATGATGCAAACCGGCCAATGAATATACAGCTAAGAAAATGCAACACAGAAAAGAAATATAAATCTAAGGAGTAGGATGATATTGCCATTCACCAAGTGTCACAATGGACCACAATTAGACTCTAGTCCTCATTACTTAACTCATCTGGGTAAAAGGTATAAAATCAAAGTCAGAGGGTGGAGCGCTAGAAGTAGAAATTGTGTGGGGGGACCTTAGCTGACTAGTGACTCTGTTGTTGCCTCTACCACAGTAGTGTAGGTGATGTGAATTTGGGTCAAGAGCCAAGAAAGCCCAGTGTATAAATATTCCCACATACTGTTTATGGAAGTATTTACACACACATTACTTGTGGTTCTTCCAGAAAGGTCACACTTCCAGAGAGTGTTAAGTGGGTAGCAAGTGACATGGCAATAATTCACACGCAAGGTATCTGTCTGTAAACAGAAGTCGACCATGTGGGAAACAAAGGGTAAGCACAGGCGATGAGATGAGGGGATACCTCTGCTGCTGCATCCCCAGAGATGCCTCTTCATTTCCAGGAATGTCAACATGCACTGGGGTGCTAAAGTGGCTACTGCTTCACTGAAAAGGTGAGAATACAGAAGAAACCAACACTTACTTCTGCCCATCTTTCACAAAACCTTTCAACGAAGATCCTCTATTAGTAGCAATTGCTTTTCCACCGAGACCAACTATGAGAGCTGTGAGTACTGCACTCTTCCCACCTGAACAAACAAGGAAAAATCACTCATTAAAAGGAGAGAGAAAAGGCTAAGTTCTGAGGCCAAGAAAAAAAAGTTTGGCATGAAACTGTGACTGGTGTTATACTGAAACAGAAGGCAGTTATACTTTACTTCTAGTGAGAAGACACCAGTTGAAGAAAAAAAAGTAAACGTATATATCCTGAGCTACTTAATGGCTACTACTGGCGAAAAAACATGGTGTGGAGCAAATTATAAATATTAATAAGGAAATGAGAAAATTTCTTGTGATGGTTTTCTATCCTGAAATTTACTGTATCAACTTGGTCCATCAGCCTACGAAATGAACTTCTCCCTCTGTGTACATGAGGATTCTGATGCATGGGGATCCCTCGTGTGCAAAATAGAACTGCACGCCTGAGTTTTCCGGGCTATGCCCTCAGAGCTAGACTGCCAAGCCTTCTTTCTAAGGTACCAGTTGGTGGGTTGAACCACCAAACTTTAGGTGGTGGTCCAGCACTTGACCATTTGCACCACCCTTTTCATAAATACCCAGCCATCCAAAACTATTTAATCAACCAGAGCTCCACGTGGAAAGAAATATTGTAGTTCCACGCTGTATTGCCAGTAACAGCACTTAATGAGCATACAACTAACAGTGAATAAATGAACTTTAAAAAGGGAAAAGCTAGCTTTACAATACTTTTATTCTTATAATTAAAATACCATTTATTTTCTAGCTTTTAACAATATACTTTTTACCCTAAAATGTCCCAAGTCAAAATTCCAAAATTTATGAATGACCCAGAATATGGTAATCATTTTTGAACTTTATAATCAACCATTTTAATCATCTCTTATCAGATCATGACCCTTCACACCAAAACCAAACCATGGCCAAGGAGGAGAGCAAGTGAACTGATTCAACCTTACACAGGGTTTCCAAGGCTGTAAACATTTACAGGTGCAGACAGCCTCATCATCTCAGCTGATGGGCTTGAACTGCCAACCTTGTGGGTAGCAGCCCAATGCTTACCCAACAGCAGCACCATATGGGGCTCCTTATGAACCTCTACCAAATACCCCAAATTAACCAAAACTACCGCTACCCAAATCAGTTCCTGGAATGCACTGTAAGTTCTTATTCTGAGTCTCTTCTTTATCAATTTCACCATTGTCCAACTACTTCCATTACTTCCTTCCATCCATACGGAAGGAAAGTCCCAAACGCAGAACCATTCCATCTTTCTTTCTACTTATTCTCTGGGCATGCATACTGTTTCTGTCCATCCCCTCTTTGTGAAAGTATTTTCTCTGCAACTGAATGGTAAAGAAAACAAAGAGCAACTGAATGGAACATGAAACTATATTATGATGGAGCTTCAAATGTTCTAGAAGCAAACTGAATGGAAAGATAATGGAATTTTTCAACAAACATTTTGAAGCCCCTCCCCAGGCACCTACTTTTACATCCCAGCCAGGTCACAGGTTGATGAACTCTGGCAAGCCTTCTCTCCATTATCTCAGCCAGGTTCTCCACACTTCCTGCATGGCCAGACCACCACAGGGGCTCACTAACTGGTCTTTCTCCCTCCTTCTAATCCATCTTCCATAATGTGGCCAGTGCTCTTCACAAATATTGGCCATGATATCCTCTTTACTCAAAAGTATTTAGTAATTCTCCACTGACTTCTGAATATAATCCCCAAATCCCTCTTCTGACATCCAAGATCCTCAGTCCTATGATCAGCACCATGACTACTGCATCGGCTTTTGCCAATCGTCTACATGATGAAAGTTTACAGGCCATTAACCACTCCCCAGACACAGTCAACGCCCCCAAATCTCAGTAGATGAGCAAACTTTGTCTAGAACTTCTCAGCTTCTTCCTCCCTAATGACGAATCTACAATTTTCATTGAAGAACTAACATGAATACTATCTTCTCTTACTTAAAAGTTTTCAATGGCCACAATAGTGAGAATTAGTCACTCCCACTTTTGGTTTCCCACCATACTTTATTGATACCCAATTATAACACCTAGTAGAGGTAAGGTACAAGGCTGTATCCAATATAATGAAAATGGATTGTCCACTTTTTTGGTGGTACATACAGTAGACAGATTCTAAAAAAATAAGGGTATCTATCCCTACTGAATAAATAAGTAACCTAGTTAACTCACAATTTTCTAAATGTGTAGGGTGGCTGTAAATATTGAGACTGTTTGTTTATATTTACAAGATATAAATCTAAAGAACAAAGACTTATAAATACTAGTAACCAATTAAACAACTTTAATGCATTCTAATCTGAATTTACTGTTACAAGTCAAATTGGAAGAAGGGCAAACTCACTTACTTCCATTGTTTCCAACAATAAAGTTAACATTAGAACCAAATTTAAAGGGACCAAGCATAGAATGACACATGAAATTCTTTAGTTGAATACTCTCAATTATTCCAACTTCTGCTGCAGTCTGTAATTAAAAAAAAAAAGAAAAACAATCAATCTATCTAGTTCACTCACTATACTCACCCAAACATGTACTGATAGGAAAAAGACCAGCCACACTATCAATGAAAACATTTTTTTTCCCAGAAAGATTAACTTCAATCAGTGAAGAAAGTGAAATACAATGGGAACATTTATACTGTTATACCAATGTAATGGAACTAACAAACTAACTTGCCAAATTAAGTCACAACTTAGTAGAATCTTTCTAAAAGATCTATTAGTTGACTTTGGAGACCAGATAATGTTTCAGTTATCATCAGAAACTTCTCTGTGCATTATATGATGTTTAGCAGAATCCCTAGCTTCTAGCCACAAGATGCCATCAGATACTTGGTATATAGTATCTGTTGTATACTCTAGTTTTGTAAGATGTTGCCAATAGTGGAGAATGCGTAGAGTGTACACAAGAATATGCTTTAACATGAAATTCATGATCTGAAATGATAGTCCAACTCACAGTCAGTTCAAAGAATAAGAGACAATATTCCTAAAAGATTTTTTTCTTTGCCTTTCTGGGTCTGCCATGTAAGATCATAGCTATATGATTTGTGGTAATGTATGAAGAATATACAACTCCCTAATCTGTAAAATAACTATTTTCTTATAGGGATATGTCAGGATTAATATATATGAGCATTTTTTTTCTAATCATTTTATTAGGGGCTCATACAACTCTTATAACAATCCATACATATATCAATTGTGTAAAGCGCATTTGCCCTCATCATTCTCAAAACACCTTAGCTTTTAAAGCACCTCATCACCTTTCTTGATTCTTAACTACCAAAACATTCTATTTATAAAGCAGTCATGAGATAATTCTGTCCTTACCAATGTGGAGGTACCATTGAACTCGTCACCATCTTTATCAAAATCCTCTGCCTCTTCTTGTCTTGATCTTTTGGCATTTTCAGGAGATAAGAAATTTTCTTCCTTTCTTTTGGCCATCAGGTTCTGAAAAACATTTAAAATATCAAACATGATGATTTTAATCAATTTTGAGATCTATGGCTGGTCCAGATACATTAAATTTAACATAATAAATCACACAAGCCTTCTTAAGTTTTAAGTAATATGCCCATACATTCTTTTTTTGCCCATACATTCTTAAAGCAAAAATATATGTATATTCTACACTTACTTGGTTTTAAGACTTAGCTGTGATTACAATGTTATCTATATTTGAGATTATCTACATGCTTTGAATCCCAAACTCCTAAAGTTAGCAATTTTATTTGTGTAACTACAGTTTCTATTTTCCTAGATCTATTCATAGAGATAACATAGTGACATCTAAAATTATCCTAGAGCAATTTCTGCAAGTTATAATCTAACAGCAAATCAGATAACTTCCTTTTATCTGTTTTATTCCTCTTCCCTACCCCCACCCCCAAAATGCATGCATCGGAGCCATGTTGCTTAGCAGTGGTGGTAGGTCCTCTTCGGTGTTTCCTCAAGGAACAGTTTGTGTTGTCTGTGCCAGTACATGGACAAGCAGACGTTTGGACTTAGAGAATTAATTTAAAAGTCTCAGAAAATGTTTATGAAACATGTTAATACTGAACTTCAAGTGACAGTTAATAGACTGTGATTGAAAATAAACTTTATGACTACACTGCCTACTGCCTGCACATTTCGTATTTAAAATACATTTAAGACCTCAAACAGTGGATAACTAGTCAGTTTTCTAGGTAGACAAAAAAATCCATAACGTGGTTAATTAAAAGTCTGTAAGCTACAAAAATATAAAGGATTCGTTCAAGCCTCAATTCATTTAACTTGCCCCAAATTGTAGACTACAGTAACACTTTGTACCATATACTTGACTCCCTTCTTCCTCATGGTAACAGAAGACGAAATGAGATTTCTCTTCCATGAATCTGAACTGAAAAACCCTAATCATTCTTCATTGGAAGAGATAATAACTGGATTTGATATGTATTAAAAAAAAAACTCCCTGCTATTGAATTGATTGACTCATAGTAACCCTGTAGAACAAGATATAACTCCTATTTTAAGTTTCCCAAGACTGTAACTCATTTCATTTTTCTCCTGATAGTATATGCATATAGTCCAAGAAACCTAGGCCCGAGTGTGTACAAGAGAGAGGCAGGCACTGCAGGGTGGTTTTACAAAAGGCATGCTGTATGGAAACATGACAAGAGAACTCATGAGAAGGAGGGCAGAGAAACAATAAACGTGGAAGAAGACAGAGCAAACTATGGTGTCTCTGCTGCCTGAGCACAGAAGAGAATGAAGGAAACCAAACCGTCCAAAAAGAAACTCTCGCTGGCAGGACTTAAAGTGCCACAAAATGAACCACGGCCTCATTTTGCGTGAGATCAGAACATATAGATGGTACCACTTCTGACCTCTCTAAGCACACAATAGAAGGTCCTGTGCAGAATGGGTAAAAAATGTAGAGCAAACCTCTCAAATTCCTAAAAAAGGCCAGACTTACTGGAGGAAACAAGAGTAGCGGAATCCCTAAAATGCCTTCTGAACTTGAGAATGAAGGCGGTTCTGGAGGTCACTTTACATTCAAATAACCGACTGGTTTACAAAATAAATAAATAGCATCTCCAATGAGCACTGTGCCCCTTTAAATAATCAAGAACAGGAGACCAACCTGTGACCATTTACTTGCTCGAAAGGATGAGGAGAGGCAAACACTCTAAATTAATAGAAAGAGAAGAAATAAATAAAATAAAATACCGAATGCTGACACATTGTGGAAAATGTAAACAATGTCAACCAACCATGTGTAAAAATTGCTCAAAATCATTGTATACCAGTTTCAATTTGTTAATTCCAATTTCAATAGAACAGAAATCAAGTCAGTTACCGCCATGTTAATTCCAGCTCATGATAGCCTCAGGGTGAACTGTGCATTACATGGTTTTCGATGACTGATTTATGACCTCTCTTTCTTTGGGGTTATCTCAAACTTCTAACTTTTCAGTTGTCAGCAGAGTACACTTACAATTTTCACCGATCATGATTCCCCTTGAATTCTAGGGCCATTATTTTCCCAAATGCACTTACTTTTTCCCCACTGAGTCTCTAGCCCCTGCGCACCAGCTCCTGTGAAGACTTACAGCTTTGGAAAGCCTCTATACAGGACCCTTGTAAGTTGGAATCAACTTGATGGCAGTGGATAACTTACTTATTTTAAAACAGAAAGAGAAGCATTATATTTTGCTGTTCTTAACAAGAAATGCCCTCTTTGCCACTGTCTTTAACACCTAATATATGATCTTGCCCTTGCCATAACCTCTGACAGACAACAGCTGACTAATTTTATATTTTACTGGTGGGGGCAGGGACAAGGAATTACTTGATATGGCTCTTCCAGCCATACTCTTTGAAATTCCTACTAAATGATTGGGTAAGCACTATGCAAATGTGAGGTGTGTGAGGTCCACCAGGCAGCTTGCTTACATAAATAAAATACGTAATATCCATGTGAGGTGGGGCCACCATACAGGGTGCATAGAACTTTAACCTGCTAGGTTTAAAAGGAGACATCTCAGAAGTGGTAAAGGAAGGCATCTCATCAGGAAAGAAGAGCTGAAAGCAGAGGCCAGCCTTTGGACTCCCAGATCATTACAGGCTGAACCCCTCTAAGGCGACAGAGAAAGGGGATGCCGAGGCTGCAGTGGCAGCACCACCAAGAAGACAAATCAGAACAGTAGGCTTTCTGGCCCAGGAGCAAGAAAGTTGATGTTTTGAGGCAAGGGTCTTGATTGCAAATCAAGGGGTACCTCCTGAGCACTTGCCTTGGGAGCTAGGTTTGCCTACCCAGAGCATAAGTGGCCTGTGGCCATTTGTCAGCAGTGCTGAGTTTTGTAATACTGCCTAAGCAGAGCAGAGGTCAAGGGGTGGTGACTGGGGGCTTGAGAGGCAGAGGAAGGCAAAGATAGAGGAAGTTTGCGGGCACAATAGAGAAATGGCTGCCCAGACCTGCATCCTGAGCAATTCTAATGACCAATTCCAATTCCACCTAACCAGTGGCGTAGTGTTACACGATGGAATGGTAACTGAAGGACAGTTCAAAACCACCAGCTGCTCCAATGAGGAAAGAAGACTTTCTACGCCTGTAAACTTCTGCAGTCTGGAAACCACCCACGTGTGGCAGTTGTGCTCTGCCCAAGGGGTTGATATGCTTCAGAACTGACTTGAAGGTTGGAAGGTGGAGGAATGTCTGGCCTTTTTCTCCTAGGCAAAAGGCCTGGGGCCACTGATGCTGTTGTGTTTTTGGTTTGTTTTTTTTTAAGATGCTGTTGGTTTTGATTCTGAGGTCAGACGCTACTTCCAAGCCGTTTACCACTTACATTAAAACAGTAATTTTTTCAAGCAAACTGCAGGAAAGAAAAGATGCACTAAGGGTAATGCTTCTGACAATGAATGTGATGCTCTACGCTACCCACAAGACTGTGCTCTCACAACCAAATGATGGCCATGCTTTCTTATTTGCTGGGTTTGGCTTGGGATTTGCAGTTTGCTAGGAGGTTGCCATAACAACAAGCACTTAGGGGCACTGAGGGATCCTACCTTTTAGAATCACTATAATTCATGAAGATGGATTTTTAAAAACACATGGATGTCCGAAGAACTAGACACTAGTTAAAATATGAAAATTGCTTCAGAGGCACACAAAAACCCCAACTATAAATAAATGCAAAGAAAAATGCTTTGAAATATTCTAGAATACATTAAAAAAAGAGGGCAGAGTACTTCTCTGGGATTTTCAATATATCCATAGAATTCTTCAAGAACCCACTGGCATGAGGTTGATTCTGACCCATACTGGCCCTATAATTCAAAACTGAACTGCCCCATTGGGTTTCTAGGACTGTAACTCTTTATAACGGTACATTTTGTTTAATCTTCAGAAACAATCTTCATACTTAAAGCTGATTGCCATTATGGATAGAAAGACCAGGTTTGGTAAGAAAGGAATAAAAACAAAACCATTTTATTGGAAGTGCTCCCAGGGAGAGGGTGAGTAAAAGTGAAAACGACCCTTGGTGAGATGGGCTGACACAGCGGCTGCAAAAATGGGCTTAAACATAGACGAGCCAGTCAGTGTGCGATGTAGCAACGATGAAAAATACAACTTTCCTCGAGTTCCTAAATGTTCCCTCCCTGCCCCCACTATCATGATCCGAATTCTACCTTGCAAGTCTAGCTGGACCAGAGGATGTACACTAGTACAGATAGGAACTGGAAATACAGGGAATCCAGCGCAGATGATCCCTTCAGGACCAGTGGTGTGAGTGGCGATACTGGGAGGGTAGCGGGAGAGTGGGTTGGAAAGAGGGAACCTATTATAAGGAACTATATGTGACGCCCTCCCTGGGGGACGGACAACAGAAAAGTGGGTGAAGGGAGACGTCAGACAGGGCAAGATATGACCAAATAATAATTTATAAATTATCAAGGGCTCATGAAGGAGGGGGTAGCGGGGAGGGAGGGGAAAAATGAGGACTTAATGCCGGGGGCTTAAGTGGAGAGGAAATGTTTTGAGAACGATGAGGGCAGTGAATGTACAAATGTGGTTTACACAACTGAGGTATGTATGGATTGCAATAAGAGTTGTATGAGCCCCTAATAAAATGATTAAAAAAACCCAAAAACATAGGAACACTGTGAGACTGGTACAGACCAAGTGGCAGGGGGTGGCTCAACAGACCTGACTCATTGACACTTAACAACCAACTAACTCCTAGAATACTGAGACCAGAGGCATCAGTAAGGACGAATGCCCAGCAATACAGAGTATGGGGGAGGTGGGTCAAGAAAATCTTCAGAGTACTTTGAATTTGATCATCAGGGAATGTACTTAGGATGAGATGTAACCCATTTAGCAAATCTAAGATGATAAAGTGAATAAAAGTAACCAACTATACACACTTGACCCTCGGTCAACAGGAGTAATTGGTGCCCATGTATCCATGGCATTCAATTATGTCTTAAGTACAATGCATCCTACCATGACAAAATCATCAGTTCTTTATGAATTCCTGAGAGTAAGCCAAGTGCAACCTTTAACTTCTCTAACTTTGGTCTGACCATGATAATGAAATTTTAAGCAGGTGTTATATACAAAGGGCTCAACAGGAGGTCTGGTGGGGTTGGTGGTTCAAAGTCACTAGTCGCTCAGTGGTTGAAGGATGAGGCTGTCAGTTCCCATAAAGATCCACAGTCCTAGAAACTCTTTACAGGGTCGGTCCTAATCAATTCCATGACATTGGGTTAGAAACTCAGTAAAACTTGTTTATCACGTAACTCAAACATGACATCTGTACTTGCTTTATGCCAGGCTTAATACTATGTCTTATATTAGTTGTCATAAGAATCTTGTAAGTTAGGTATTATGCTATTTCCCCCAATTTACAATAAGAGAACAGAAACTGGCACAGGGTCCAACAACACTGAAACATACTTTCACCCTAATGATTTCTAAAATCTTGTGAATCTGCAGCTAATCCAGAAAAAGAAGACAAACACATAATCAAAGGTGAAATTCTTATATTTCACCTACATAATAAAGGTGAAATCGTATGTGTTACAGTATGAGAAAAAATGAAGGCGCCTTGGCGGCGCTGCTGGGTCTGCACTGGACAGCGGACTGCAGACCAGACCGCTAATTGTGATTCCAAGATGAGGCTTACCTGATCCTGTTAAGATATACAGCCTCGGAAACGTCCTATCCGGGCACGGGGAGTCCAAACCAAATTCACAGCCAGAGTCGATTCCGCCCAGTGGAAAAAATTCTAATATTCCAGTATGCTCCCTCCTTATCCCACAGCATCCATGAGTTTGTATATATCAGAAGACTACATAGCAGCCATCTCTTAGTCAGGGAATTTGGATATTATTCCCTGAGAATTTGAAAGTCACTAAAGAGCTGTCCTTTAATGTCCCACTTATATAAAGACCTCACATAAATTCCGTCTTTGGGGTTTAAACACCGAATAGTTCTTCCTTCTAAAAATTTGCAGTTTTATCTGAAATTCGATTGCTCCGAGGACCCTTCTCAACCGGGCTTCTCAAGTTCATTTCCACAAAGGGAAAAATACAATGTCATGGGGGGGTGGAAACAGAGAGAGAGAGAGAGAGAGACTCAAATCTCACGATTTCATTTTCCTAGACGATAGTATCGGTTCTCATGAAAACAAACGCAACTTAAAGGGCATAAACCCTTTCTGATAGACCTGTGGTGCTGGACACGGCCGTGAGTTCTGTCTCACGGGAGCCCAACTCCCGAGCCCAGCCTCCCCGGGTCATTCCGAACCTAAGCCCAAGGGTCCGCATTTAGGAACACCGACTCCCCGCCGCGAGGAGGGAGGTGCCCTGCGCAGACCGCCAAGTTTTTCCCGCGGCTGAGACGACCTGAGGCGCCCGCAGAGAGGGCGCGACGACTTCTACCTGCCCACCCGCCTCAGGCAACCAGGGCTCCCGTCCGGGTCCGCCGAGGCGACCCTGGGCGCCACCGCAGCTCCGGTGACCCTGCTGCTCGCTCTCTCCAGTGGGTGGGCGCCGGCCAGCCCGCGGATCCCGGAGCAAGAGCGACAGTACGCACCCTCACCCTACCTCAAACGAGTCGTAATCTTCCAGAGGAAGCCGACTGGCGAGGTGGTCGAGGAAGCTAAAGGCACCCCGAGGGCGTCTCGAACTCCGTCAGCCGCCGTTGGCCCGCCCTGAACCGCGCGCCCGCCGCAGCCGAAAGCAAGAGCCCCGCAGCCGCGGCGCGCACGGCGGGACGGTCCGCGCCTGCGCCCCGCCTCCCCCTCCGGCCCGGGATTTCGCTGCGCTTGCGCCGTTCGGGACCGGAAGTCCTGCTAGATGGATAGGGGAAACCGGTAAGCAATTGCGAACCTAGCGGCGGGAGGGCAGCGCGTTGGCGGTGATTTGCCCCAGTCGGAGGGAAGATAACTTGGCGCCCCCGGCAACAGGTCCACGCATGCGTAGAGGGGCTGGGCCTGTGCCCGGAAAGCAAGACCGGCGGAGTGACAGGCGCTTCCCGGAAGGGGCGGGCTAGGGGTGGAGGCGGCGCCTAATTCAAAAATTCTCCAGGAAGCTTCTCGGCTCTGGGTGCTACGTTTTTTTTTAGAATAAAAATTCAGAAACCACAGGAATAATGTAACGAAGACACTTCTTCCAAAACCAAGGAGCACAGCTGGTCCGGGTAAGTCGCTGAACGGAGGAGACACTGGTCCGCCCCTTCCTCTGGTTTTGGAAATTTGACTTAGGGGTGATCTAGTTGCGCCCCGAGCAGCATAGGCTCTTATGGGGTCATTTCGGAAAGCGGCTGGGGTGAAATTCTCCCTCCTTCAAAAAACCACCTCCTCCGACTCCCATTGAGTAATGTAGAAAATCTGAACGTCGTCGCCGGCCGGTGACTCTGGCCACGTCTTCCTACACCAGGTCTCCCACCCAGGCCCCTGCAGCTTGCGCTGGGGCGTCGGGATCGGAGTGCCCACCCACGGCCTGCGACGCCCTTCCAAAGCTGGTGGTCCAGCCCCACCCCGACCCCGCTGCCCAGGGCTCAGACTTGGAGAGCCTTCCCTGATGCCCGTGGACACACATGCGTCCACGTAAGCTTTGCATTTTGCAAATACTTCATTTTAGCACTTACCTTTAGCCTTGTGGTGGTTTATTTCATCTTTATCTTATGGTCCCCTCGATTGTAAACCTCTCAATAAATAGCTAAAGGAACGAAGTTTAAATTCCTTGGCTTAATGTTTAGTGCTCTCCTCAACCTGACCAGCCGAGGAAGATGAGACCGTTCCTGGAAAGATCGATTCTCTGAAATCGGCAGGGGCAGTTCTACTCTGCTGGAGAGGGTCCTTATGAATTGGAATCGGCTTGATGGCAGTGAGGTTGGTTTTGGTTTTTCTCAACAAAAACCTCCCTCTTCTACAGACTTTGTAGCCTCCCTCTTCATACAGACTTTATGGAGTTCTCACAAATGAATATGCTGTTGTAATGTCAAACACTTCACCTACTTCAAAACCATTCCTTCTAAGTGAGAGAATGACATGAACCCTGCACCCCCAGCCCCACATAAATTGAATTAAACATCTGCTCTCCACTCAGGGACTTCCTTCCACCAAAGTCACCCTTAGGCTTCTGAAAATAGAGTCAAATGTATATACAGTGTTACTATTGTCACTCTTGCCATAGGACAATGAAAAGTATGAGTCAAAATCAGACATGAGGCATGAAAATTAAAGATACACTAAATGCTAGATAAAGTGATAGGTGAACCCAAACCTCCTGCCATGTAGTCATTTCCGATTCTGTGGGTAAGAGCACCAACAGGGCTCCTTACACATCAACCCAAACCCACAGCAATGGAGTCGGTTAAGACCCATAAACCAAAAAACAAATCGCCATAGACTCATACCCGTCAGTTAGAACAGGGAAAACTGCCCCTGTGGGTTTCTGAGACTCATTCTTTACAGGATTAGCAAGCATCTTTTTTCTGAGAAGCAGCTAATGGTTTTGGATTGTTGACCTTGCAGTTAGTAGCCCAACTGATAACATATACATGCAATCATACATTTATATTTACACATACACACTCCTTAGTGACCAAGACTGGGTAGAGCATATTTATATACTCTTTACTGCCATGCCTATACACTCCACACTGGTTTAAGTCCCACATTATATGTCTCATTTGGGCTGCTAATGCCCTTAAATGGAGGTCTTGATAATTGTATATCCAACCAAAACCAAACTTACTGGATCAAGTCAATGCTGATGTATAGTGACCTCCCCACCCCTTAGGTTTCCAAAACTAACTGCTTGTGGGACTAGAACGCTCAGACTTTCTCCTGGAGCTGCTGGTGGTTTTGAACCATAGACCATAGCCCAACTCGTGGCCACATCACCAGGGTGCCTGATTGTGTCTCCAACACCTAAAACTCACTGCCATCAACTCGAAGACGACTCATCGATCCTATAGGACAGGGTAGAACTGCTCCCATAGTTTCTGAGACTGTAACTCTGTATGGGAATAGAAACCCCTGTCTTTCTCCCCAGCACCTAGAAAAGTTCCTGGTAAAGTAATAGGCACTCAATAAATGCTTACTGATAACAAGTGGTTACACATTGGGCTGTTAACCAAAAGGCCAGCAGTTTGAAACCACCAGCTACACCTCGGGAGAAAGACTAGCATTTTCACTCCTGTAAACAGTCACAGTCACAGAATCCCACAGAGGCAGTTCTACTAGTATTTTTACTCCTGTAAACAGTCACAGTCACAGAATCCCACAGAGGCAGTTCTACCCTCCCTATAGGGTCGCTAGGAGTTGGAATCAACTTAATGGCAGAACATTTGCTTTTTGGATAGCAAGTATGGAAGTTATCCCTGAGCTATGCTTTAAGGTGTAGGTTATAATGGATGTGCGGATTGTTATAATATATGTAAGAGCCCTCAATAAAATGATTTTTTAAGTGTAGGATAAGTTCATATGAAAAGACTAGAAAGAAATATTAATAGGTAGCATTAATTAATGAAATGTGATAAATCTCATACAATATAATCCTATTTTGAAATAAAGTTTACATCATTCCCAAATTTTTATGAAAATATAGTCATCTAAATGAGAATTGGGAAACAAAGTTTTTTGCTTCTTTATTGCTAAAATAATTTTCTTCTTAATGTTTTTGCTTAAACCTGATGTAAAACAGGAAAACTGTTGATTTGATAAGATGTCAATTTTGTGTAAATCAGACCACTGACCTTTTTATGCTCTTTAAATTTGATTCATTAGTGGAGTTAGCAAGGCTATGTGTTTTTCTCACCTCATTCAGTTTTGTAATTAACCAATAAAAGCTTATTAGCTTTTAAGGAAGTTTTAGGAGCATAAATTGATTTATGGGCACCATATGGTTACATCAAAGGATTTTTTTTTAACCTGAAATAAATGCCTAAGTCCTTTCTTCCAACTATAAATTTAAGTTTTTCTATTAAGCAATAATATCCTAAGTGATTTTTTTAAAATACCAAACTATCAATATTTGTCATGTGATTCAAAGGATCTTATAATTCACTTCTTTAGGCATTCTGATTTATAGATAAATATCTTCCCAGGGTGAACCAATTAATTCATGAAAATAGCCAAAAGAAGACTAAATCTCAGGCTTCTTGTCCCTAATCCAGGACTCCTTTCACTAAATTAAAATGTAAGTCACTGATGGGATGTAGTTGTTCGCTCTGCATCTTTCTGTTTTTGTAGATACACATAGTTTTCATTGTGTCACAATTCTTTAAAATTAGCTGCAAACAGTATGGTATGAGACTTCTCCCACGTGATATGTCGATTGTAAGATCAGGTTGCAGTCAATACAATTATTACATTATAAAAGATATGAATAGGAATTTAGCAAATTTCACACCACAAAAATCAAATTGACCTTATTGGAAATAAAAATCAAGGTTAAAATATATGCATAGAACTGAGTTCTGATTCTTAAAATTTTCAGACTTGACATTTTGAGAGTGGAAGCGCCCACATATCTATTGACCTGCAACACTCTAGATCTTTAATCAAAACTTTTCCCTGCAGTCATCTCTGAACCACAGTTGAGCTCAGCTACTAAAGAGCAAATGCATTTAGTAATGCCCTCTTTTCAAACTATATATATGTGGTCCCATTGATGCCAGTAACGCTAAATCATAGATCAGGAAATGACAAGGAACAATGAGCCTGCACTTTAGGGAGAGGCTTGAAACAAAGTGAAGACTTATGTCCTAGGTCACTGATCTTTGTGTGTGTAGAAATTGTTGGATGGGTACATGTTTTTACCCAAAGTAAATATATAATAAATAAGTGGTTTTTTTACAAAACTTAAAAAATTCAGCATTTTGGGTGGGTTTTATATGGGTAGTGTATAAAATTTTTATTTCATGCCAGGCTATTTGCAAGTAATCTCATCAGTCTGATTATAACCGCGTGCAAGCGCCATCTGTTCTTAGCTCCTTCAGCACTTAGCTCGACTCGAGTATCTTAAAAGCTGTTGCACTCTGCGCTGTTCAGAACTTTATAGGCTTTTATAGGTTTGCCATTGCTATTAAATGTCACTTCAGAAGAAGGCATGCTGTAGAATGGCAGGCCATGAATGATGGAGATGGTATACTTCTAACACGGTGCACTTTTTTCCTTTTTGAAATTATGAAGATATTTAAAAATCTGCTTTTATGCTTTTATGGTTTTGAAAAACAAAGGAATTTGTATATTTTTTAAGTGTAGTGAATCTGTAACACTACATTTTAAGTGTACTGAAGACAACCTTGAGATCATATTTAAAAGGATATATCACACAATGGCATAATAATGTTAGCATTTTTCGCCGTTTATAACTCTGTAAGATAGCCACTACAAATCAAGAAGTAAATTAACTTGTTACAGCTAAAAGTTCATTAAGAATTTCAATATGCATTACCATAAGACCATCATGTTAATATACTTTTAAGTTTTTTTATGTAAATTTGGTTGGGAGAATTGTGTGAGAGTAGAGATGTAGTAAAAAGTGAAAATAGGAAAACCTGATAGGAGAATATTATACTTGTATATGGCCCAAACTAGGAAAGTGTCATCAGAAATGTGAATTTATTATCTATTTTGGCATAGCAGGCTTGATCAAGTTGCTATTGGGGAATGAAGAAAAGAATTATGAGTAAATGTGACATGCCATTGAATAAGCTATTTTCTAAAATCCCCTGATTCATTTAGAGAAAAAACTGAAAGATAAGCAAATTCCATAGTAATCACAATTACTTTGAACTTGTGAAAGAAATGTGGAAGAGCATTACTATATAGGGGTATGCTTGGAAGCAGAAGAGAAACTCAAAACCATTTCAAATTCATCTCAGTAAATGGGGTCTACAGATTAAGGTACTGAAGTGGTTAAAAAGTTTATAGATTTAACCAACGAAGGGGAAATGGTCAGCATGGTTCTGCCTTTGTAAATGAGTGTTACTGAAAGTTGTGCCATGTCATCAACCCCCAATGTTTGCCAAAATAGTATGCAGTCACTTAAGAGTATAATCTGTACAAGTCAACCATTCATGTATTGTAGTCTGAAGCTGGCCTATTCTTGGATAATTTCTTTTCCTCAACACTGTTTTAAATTCTATACCATTGGCTAAATTAATGACACTATCAATAGAAATCAAGGGTTGCAGCCATCAGTATGGGTTATAACTCAATGTAAAGAAGACCAAAATCCTCAAACTGAACAAATTTATGAATCATGATAAATGGAGAAAAGGTTGAAGTTGTCAAGGATTTTGTCTTGCTTGGATTCACAGTCAACGCTCATGGAAGCAGCAGTCAAAAAGAAATCAAGAGATGTGTTACATTAGGTATATCTGCTGCACAAGATGTCTTTAGGGTATTGACAAGCAAGGATGTTACTTTGCGGACTAAGGTGTGTGACCCAAGTCATGGTATTTTCCAGTGCCTCAGATGCATGTGGAAGTTGGACTTTGAATAAGGAAGACTGAAGAAGAATCTATGCATTCTGGTGCTGGAGAAGAATATTGAAAGTACCATGGAATGCTAAATGGACAAACTGGTCTGTCTTGGAAGATGTAGACCCAGAGTATCCCTTAGATGTAAGAATGGCAAGACTCGGTCCTATGTACTTTGGACAGGTTGTCAGAAGAGACCAGTTCTCTGGAAAAGGACATCAGGCTTGGTAAAGTGGAGGGGAAGCAGAAAAGTGGAAGACCCTCGACAAGATGGATTGACTCCGTGGCTGCAACAATGTCCGCAAGCACAGGAATAATTGCGAGGATGGCTCTGGACCAGGCAGTGTTTCCTTCTGTTGGACTGTAGGTTGGAACCAACTTGATGGCATCTAACAACATCAGCAATTCCTACTTTGTGTTTTTTTAATAGAGGTCATCATTAGGGGACATTAATCCAGTTGTATATTTGTATAATCAGACTATAATTCTTACCAAATAGAACATGAAAATAACAAATAAATGTTTAATAAGGCAAAAACTGGTCTTTAGAAAATACAGCAAGTTGCAATAACAGCGTTTCAGAGAATTTTGTTTTTAAAATGCAAATGTGCGTAGAAAAAAACAACCTTAAGTAGTGAAACCACAAGTAATTTTTTCTCATTGAATTTTCCCCAGTGGACACTGGAATGTTGCAATTTTCAAAAAAATAATGTCCTTTTGACAAGGCTATTTCTGTATTCCCTAATTCTGAGTTTCACTGCCCTCCAATTTTCTTTCATTAACCCTGTAGTTTTTTCCTTTAGTTACTTGTCTGTTTTGCATGCTTCCATGCTTTTGTCTTTGTAGCTTCTGTTCCTGATAAGCATAATCCCCTTCTCTCTTCAAGCATGTAAATTAAGGCATAATTCTTCAAGTAGAGAAATATGAGTGGTTTACAGCATCAATGTGTTCTCAACAAATTGCTGCATTTACCCAAGTTAATGCCATCTATAATGTTTCAGGTATTCTTGATTCCTTTCAACAAACTAATAGAAGAAATAAGGGAAACCCCCTATTTAAGAATCATTCTGAACTAGCTTAGATTCTTATTCTGAGCCTTTGTTTCTTTTAACTTTGCTTTTGTACATGTGTTTCGATAACAGATAGTCAGCAGGATGGGAGTGCATCATCTGTGGCCAATATTGGAGCCTGTGAGGCAACACACCCACTTGCATAGTCTTGGTGGGAAAACCATCGCAGTTGACCTGAGTCTCTGGGTGTGTGAAGCACAGACTGTCAGAAAAATGATTGGAACCGTCATGAAGCCCCACCTAAGGTATAATGAAAGCTCTTGGAATATAAATGCATGATTGCACGAACAGCTGACACCTCGGTTTTGTTTCCAGTTTCTTTTATCCTGTTCTCTATACTTTCAGATTTGAAATTATACAAACTGTCATCTTTATGTGAATGTCTCACAATTCTACCCCTCTTACCCTTTCAGCTCCAGACTCAGGTATCTACCTGGCTACATAGCATAGCCAGCAGAATGCTCTCGTCACCATAAGCCAGAAACTTTAGAGTTTAAATATCTCTCCATTGGTAGAGCTACAGAGATAAATGCCTAGGGACGTGGCAGGGGAGGAACGGGGGAAATGAGGAACTAACAACCATCAGGGAAGAAAATGTTCTGAACTTAATTGTGGTGATGATTGTTCAAACCTTCTTAATATGACTGAATAATTAAATTCTATGATACGTGACATAGATGCCAAAGAAAAAGCAATATAAAACAAAAAACTCTCCCACATCTACTTCCAAAATATATATTTTTTTATAAACTCTTCTCAATGCACTAAAAAACCACCCAGTCCATTCTAATGTTACTTACCATGTGTACTGCTAAAATAGCATCCCTGTTCTGATCCTCTAATAGCAATTAGTGTAAGCATAAATCTCCCATACTTAAAAACATTCAGTGGTGTCCCACTTCATTCTTGCCATTGTCTATAACATTCATATATATATCTCCTTCCTGCTCCAAATCACTACTTTCTTTTTCTTAAGTGCAGCCTCCTTATAAAGCCTATCCTGGTCTCCGTATCCAAAGTGGGGTTCCTATTCCATGTTGTCATCTTCTGTGTCTTTCCTTCCTTTCCTCATAAATTTACCATTAATTGAAAGCACATTTTATCGATTTTATAAATATGTTTTTCTTTGTTCCTCATTGAAATCATAAGGTCCCAGAGAGCAGGAACCGTGTTTTCCTGCCTTGTTCATAATTGTATCCCCAGCGTCTGATGCAATGTTTGCACAAAGTAGGTGCTTATTAAGTAGTTCTTGCTGGAAAGAGGGTAAGTCAAAAAGTAATGCTGTTAGTTTCGGTTCATGGTTATACAGTCTTAGTCTTATTAGGATGCCTTAAAATAAAGTTCCAATCTAAATTGTGGCTTACAAGGGTATATGGTGGCCAGAGAGGTCAGCTCTGAAGGTTAGGTAGACTGGTTTGGGGATTCCAAAATAGTAATGTGATAGCTTTTTTTCAAAGGACACAAGATGATCACAGGGTCTTATTAGGAAGAAGTTTTCAGAAAGTTAAAAGCTGCTTTAGTGAGCACAGTCAGGAAGGTTGGGAGGAACTTATTATTTCTGTCATAGCAGTGCACCTGCACATTCTTTGAGGGTGGCATGGGCTGTCTTCCAAGAATTTTCCAGGGAAACAGGACCATATCAACCCTACAGCCCTGATCTTGCTTCTTCAAATTTCTTTTTGTTCCCAAAACTTGATGCCAAAACTGCCATTTTGACATGATGTAAACCAAAGAGTCCAGAATTCTTCAGGGAAATGTTAGAGAAGTATATGTATAGACCTGGATGAAGAATATGTTGAAAAATAATAACTTCACATTTTGATATTTTTGTTTAATAAAGGTTTCTGTAATTTTTTAGCAATACTTTTTTATTTATATATGAATCTCTCATCTCTGTTATCATAGTTACTTAAAATGAGTGGTAATTTGTGGAAGTCAATGTTCATCATTTTCACAAAAGCTAAAGATACGTTTAATGTGCATTACAGGGAACCCTGGTCACATAGTGAGTTATGTGTTGGGCTGCTAACAACAAGGTCAGAAGTTCAAAACTACTAGCTGTTGCATGGGAGGAAGATGAGGCTGTCTGCTTCAATAAAGATTTATCATCTTGGAAACCCATAGGGATATTTCTACTCTATCCCGAGTCAGAAATAATCCATGGCAGTGAGTGAATATTCATTATCATAGTGCTATAAGTATAAGGGCCCTGGTCACACTGTGAGTAAAGTGTCGGGCTCTTAGTCACAAGGATGGCAGCTGAAATGCAGCAGATGTGACTGGCTGTTCCCATAAAGATTTAGTCTCAGAAACCCTATGTAGGGTAGCTAATTGACTCACTGGCTCTGGGCTTGGGTTTTGGGTGTTTTGGGAGGCTGGGGAGGTTTTATTTCTTATAACACTGTTATAGTGCTCTCTTTGAGAATATATTAAGGCAAATATTATGAAATGTTTTCACATCTATTGTCCCACACCTAGGGGGAAGCGAAACTGGCAAGGTTATTTTTATTCTCATATTACAGATGAGAAAAACTGAGGCTCATGGGGAAATTAACATGAACTGCATGTTAATTTCCCCATGCTCGCACTGGACTCATAAGTGAAATCCATAACATAATCTAATGGTCTTAACCTCGCGTCATGCTATCATTTTGACTTTTTGAATTAATACATGATGACTGACTTATTACCAATAATGTATTTCAGGAACCTGTTTTTTCGAATCTCATTTTTAACACTAATGGATGTAAAACTGATATTTGTTATGGAAGGGGAACCCCCAAAGCTGAAAGCTGATGTCATAAGCAAGAGGAATCAGATTCGGTATGGGTCCTCTGGAAAAACATCATCGCAGAGAACAGGGAGATCGCATTTTAAATCAGTCTTAAGAGAGGTGAGATTTCAGGTCTGCTGCAATTCTGATTTGAAAAAAGAAGTACATTTTACTCTGATAAGTCAGTTGGCTAGCCATCTTTAATACTTACTAACCTTACTGTGAATAGGAAAAAAAGTTTATTTTTTGGAGTGAAACTGGCCTAAATTCAAGTTCTGAGAGACATTTAGAAATTCTGGAACAAACAAAATTTTAACTCTCTTCCTCTCTGAAATTAGGTTAGTAATATTTTGAGGGCTGTTATAAAAATTAACAAATATATATCTGGAGCAACTAGTACGTAATAGGGACTTTATACATGTGACCTGTTTTAGTAGTGTTAGTACTTTAAAGCATTCCCAGCATGTATGTCCCAAGATCGCACTGATTCATAATGGCTCATGGGTAAAATATGTATTTTACTTCCCCTGGGACTTTGCTTTATAATTGAAAAACGTAATTATTGTTTTATATAATGAATATTATATCCCATATGTAACTTGTAAAATTATATATTGTAATAAAAGTTAAACCATCACCAATATAAAATAAAATATATAATGATAACAAAAGGAAGCCATTAGTATTTGTTTGTCTGGAAATTTATATATTTTAAAGTTGACATAATAGTGTACAAAAAGTTTTTATCTTAGGTGTTTCAGTTAACATAGATCTATATTTAAAACTATGTATTAAAAAATCATTTACAATGATTATACCATGTATTTGAAGATGAGTCAATGATTGATTATATTTCTTGCCTTTCTTTTTCACTATTATACATGAAATTATAATACACACTTTTTATGCACATAACTTTTTATTGTTTTGTGGTTTTAAGATTAAATTACCTAAAGTGGGATTGATCGAGTAAAGTTTAGGAGTGATTTTGCCCGATTACTTTGTACCAGAAGCGATATAATAAATTTCAGTGTACCAAAAGAATGATGGATGTTAAGTTTACTTTGGCACATTTAATATGCGAAACTGAAGATATCTTGTTTAATATGTTTTCTTTTATTGGTAGGGTTCAAGGTTTAACTTAATTGTAGTTTCTCATTAGGAAGTGCTCATCATGTTCTTTTCTCACATCTCTTTAAGTTTGAGGGATTTTTTGTTTTGTCAATTTCCATATATATTAAAAACATAATCCTTTTATCACATGTCTTTCATTTACATCCCTGTCTTCAATTTTTGGCTAAAACATTATATATATTATATATATAAAATGAAGGCATTACATTTTTTCTCTCTAGAATATGTATTTTTTTAATGTCAGAAAGTATCTTTTTTACTAAGTGATTTTTTAAAATGTTTTTTAATATTTTATTATTGTATAATAATTAGTATTCTATATATGTCTATCATTTCTTGAGAGAATTGATTCATTTTTACCCCTTTATTGCATTGATTGTGGTGTTCACTGCCATTTTGTATCAATTCAGTACTACCCAGCCATTATTCATTTTCATATTCCTCTCAGTTTACTAAGCCCTAATTTCTTCGCATCTGCTGCCCTCTTTTAAGTGTAAATATCAAAAGCATCAGTTAGTTCTCCAGGATCACCTCTGTCCAGTGTGATAAAGACTTGGAGAAGGGAGAATTGTTGCCAACCTCGTTACAAATTTTATACTGGTTCTTTGAAAAGATCTGGGATGACAAATGAAGCTAGCAACTGAACTAACTTTCAAACCCTTATGGAGATAGATCTCCCATGTAGAGTAAGGTAGAAGCGACTATGATGTTACAATAAAGCCAGATAGTTCACCTACAGCCAAAGTGCCTCCCCAGAATCATCCAGGCAGAGTCCTGAAAAGTAATTTTAAAAAAACAACAAAACATAGTGTTTTGTCTTTTTTGAACTTTACCAACTATGGGCAATATCTGGCAGGAATTTTTATTTGTAATATTTAGCATACAAGCAATTGAAAAATGAGAGATTTATTCTGCCAGTCTCTAGAAACTACAATAGCCTCTTTTTCTCATCATATCCAGTGCTCTTCATTACAAAGAGAATGATAGTTAATAAGTGTTCTACAATGAAGGCTCTCATACTCTGTAAAAATAAATTTGCAAACATTAGCCTATTATCACTTTGAGACCAGAATCGCCTAGGTGGAACCCCTACCAAGGGTCTAGAAAGTCAGAGAGAGAGTGGGAGAAAGATGTGGAATCAAACTCAAGAAAAGGTTAGGCTTTCTGGGCAGCTGAACACTGACAGAGTACCTGACAGTATGGGCCTTAGTCACCCTTCAGGTCTGGCCCTGACATCATCCAATGGCTCAGTTTTCAGCCCAACAACAGAAAATTCTACATGGTGAACAGTAACACTAGGGAAATGCAAACTCCATAGGATAATCAACCATTTGATAACAAAAGGGCAGTATTGGTGCAAGGACAAAAAAGTTTAGGAGGAGGAATGGAAGTTGGAAGCACAGGAAGAAAGTGGGATAATTGATGTTACATTGTGGCGATTATAGTCAGTGTCACAGAACAAAATGTGGATTGTTTAGTGGAAAACTAATTAGCTCTATAAACCATCCATTACACAATAAAAATTTTCTAAAGTATTATTACACCAAAAGTTCCCTTAACACCATCAAATTCAGTGTTCAAATTTCCAATTATTTATGAAATACAATTTTTAATGCAACCAATGATTATAACCTTGAAGTAACAAACTCTCAAGAAACTCGCAGTAAAAGTATTCTTCAGTTTCTCTCCTCTTCTTTTTCTTTTCAGTGCCTTGATATGCTGCAGTGCTTAGGCATCCCGTGGGTTCAAGCTGCAGGAGAAGCGGAAGCCATGTGTGCCTACCTCAATGCTAATGGCTATGTGGATGGCTGCCTCACCAATGACGGAGATGCTTTCCTGTACGGGGCACAGACTGTGTACCGGAATTTCACTATGAATACAAAGGTTCTGCCTTTCTTTGTCAGCACTGGGTTTTTTGTTTGATTTCTTCAACAGTTTCATTGACACCTAGTCCATATATCGTACAATTAAATAGTTCAGTCATTCAATGGTATCAAGAAGAAATGTACCAGCATTACCACAGTCAATTTTAGAACATGCCGGGCCATGGTTAAATCGTCTTTAAAATGAATTGGGTAATCACAATCAGTCCTAGTACTCCCTCCTCAAATTACCTTGTCCTGAAGAGGCTCTTAGTGAATAAATCAAATCGTGCATACATACCAGGTGCTTAGTGCAATGCCTGTCACGTGGCAATTGCCGCATAGTGCATACTCTTTGGAAGACTTCTCTAGAGGAGGTTTAGAGAGCGGGAAACACTGCCTCCAGTTGTGTATAGACCTACACAGAGGACATGTTGAGACATAATAGCTCCACACTTTGATACTTTTGTTGAGTATAGATTTCTGTGATTTTGTAGCACTGTTCTTTAACTTTAAGTGATGTCCTTACAGGGATATTTCATTTCTACCATTTTTATTTTGTAAAATCAAGGTGCTCTTTTTAGATACAAGCATAGCATTGGCACTCAGGCAAGAAGATGACTCCAGGCTCAGAAGGAGAACTACAGCCATGATGTGACAGAACTTGACGAATGAATTTGTCCCACTGCCATGGTCAATATAGATTCAGTAGTAACCCTGCAGAGGGTTACTGCTTTAAGGAAACCGGGAAACAGGAATTTGTGGCATCAAAGTGGAGTTCACAGCACCACCAGCAGGGTCAAGGATGTGTAATTGCTCATGTAGATCTCCCACCTCTGCGATAGTCTTGGTCTAGATCCCCTGGGGGAAGAGGCCAAGTCAATTTCGTTGAAGATGTCACAAATCGTTCAGAAAGAAGCCTTACGCATTTTTCAAGGAAAAATAAAGATAACTGACAGATCCTGTTTAATATGTGTATGAATGTGTACTATTTAAAGATTAAACTAAATCTGTACTTTCCTTTAGGACCCACACGTTGACTGTTACACAATGTCATCTATCAAGAGTAACCTGGGTTTGGACAGAGAGGCTCTGGTTGGCCTCGCCGTACTCCTTGGCTGTGATTATCTTCCCAAGGTACGCTGAAATTGTCTGCCTTGTTTCTATTCAGTGTGCCTTTTAGAACCTGACATACTGTCTAAGTAAGAACATGTGGTGATATGATTAAAGAAGCATGTCATTGAAAATATCATTTTAAATCAGTATTACCAAAGGCATTAACACACTGGCGTACTGGTGTAAGCGGGAACCGAGTAACAAATAGTTGTGCAGATTGCATCTCTGCACTCTCCTGTAAGAGATGCACACTCACGAGCGGATATCAGGGCTCAAGTGGAAAGAAAATGCTTTGAAAATGATGGATGGCAGCATATGTGCAAATGTGCTTGATACAATGGATGAATGTATGGATGGTAATAAGATATGTAAGAGCCCCCAATAAAAGTATTTAATAAAAAAATGCACATTCAAGTGTGCCTATGCTTTGAAAGAAATACAGGAATTAATCTTTTTTTTACAGATACGAATGCTAGTTTCTTCCACTGTTTCATCTCTTTTTTGGTTTTTATTTATTTTTTGTTTGAGATGGCCTTGTTTGTCACTAAAGACCCCAAGCCCATTTCAGTTTACCATTTCCTCTTTGTTTAGCCACTCAAACTATTATTTTTAGGTTTGAGGGATAAGGAAGCTAGAGGTAATTTTTTGTTTTTAAAGAAACACACTGTATGCATTTAAACAGTTTTTCGTCTCCCTTATAGCTTTTCAATTAGACATATATAGTCAATATATTATTACTGTTGCTAGATAACATGATTATGAGAGTAAGCCATTGATCCTTCTCTGCCTCTTAGCCCTGCATTGAACTATGCAAATAAAAACATTTTATTATCTTAAGATACAAAAATCAGTACTCTAACAAATAGGTGTGATAGGTCCGTGATGACCAAGCATTATGAGCATGGCCCTGTTTCTGAAGTCATGATGTGTACAGATACTGCATGACGAGCATTAGCTCTTCACATGAAGCGCCCTCATGCTCATCTTCTCACAGCATCCCTCTTGATTGCTGTCTCTCTAAAAGGAGTCTGAAGAGTGATATCCTTTTGTCCTACCAGACTGTACGAGAAAGAAAGAAAGAAATTGCAGGATAGTGAAATTAGTAACTCAATTTTTTATCAGTGGCCAAATAGAGAAATAGAATTATTTTTAACTAATAAGAAAAGGAAATGTATGGAACTTTAAAAAATAGCCTCTACATAACTGTTCCATGTTAATTCTCATTTGGAACTAGAAGAGTGCCACTTACCATACATAATTATGTGATAATTAAAATCTAGAAACAACTTAATTTTGAATTGGAGAAATTTTTGAAAACTTAGAAATAGATTTTTGCTACAATGGTGTTTACATTGCACATTATCCTCCGAGATTTTTGACCATCTATCACTGATGTATCAAAACTGCTTTTTTTACCTTGTGGTGTTAACAAACCCAGGGGCAAGGGAACAACAAGTGATCCAAATTGGTGGTGAGGTGGGTGTGGGAGGCCTGGTCGGGCATGATCAAGGGTAATGTAACACAGGAATTGCTGAAACCCTGGTGGGGACAGAGCATGAAAGTGGGACAGGAGAAAAGTCAAGGGAAATAGAGGAAAGAGCTGGGAGGCAAAGGGCATTTATAGCAGTCTAGATAAAGACATGTACATATGCAAATATATATATGAGGATGGGGAAATAAATCTATGCGCCTATATTTATAAGTTTAGTATTAAGGTAGCAGAAGGACATTAGGCCTCCACTCAAGTAATCCCTCAATGCAAGAATGATTTCTTCTATTAAATTGGCATTCTATGATGCTCACCTTCCCGACACAACCACTGAAGACAAAGCGGGTGAATAAGCAAATGTGGTGAAGAAAGCTGATGGTGCCTGGCTATCAAAAAGTATACCATCTGGGATCGTAAAGGCTTGAAGGTAAACAAGCGGCCCTAAAGCTCAGAAGCAACAAAGCCCACATGGAAGAAGCACACCAGCCTATGCGATCACGAGGTGTCGAAGGGATCAGGTATAAGGCATCATCAGAACAAAAAATCTTACCATAGTGAATCATGGGGGGAGTGCGGAGTGGAGACCCAAAGCCCATTACTAGGCCACTGGAGATCCTCTTGCAGAGGGGTCTAGGGGAGGAGACGAGCCAGTCAGGGAGTGATGTAGCAACGATGAAAAATACAACTTTCCTCTAGTTCCTAAATGCTTCCTCCTCGCCCCCACTATCATGATCCGAATTCTACCTTACAAGTCTGGCTAGACCAGAGGATGTACACTGGTACAGATAGGAACTGGAAACAGAGGGAATCCAGCGCGGATGATCCCTTCAGGACCAGTGGTGTGAGTGGCGATACTGGGAGGGTAGAGGGAACGTGGGTTGGAAAGAGGGAACCAATTATAAGGAACTATATGTGACCTCATCTCTGGGGGATGGACAACAGAAAAATGGGTGAAGGGAGACGTCGGACAGGGCAAGATATGACAAAATAAAAATTTATAAATTATCAAGGGCTCATGAAGGAGAGGGGAGCAGGGAGGGACAGGAAAAATGAGGACCTAATGCTGGGGGGTTAAGTGGAGAGGAAATGTTTTGAGAATGATGAGGGCAATGAATGTACAAATGTGCTTTACACAAACAATGAGTGTATGGATTGTGATAAGAGTTGTATGAGCTCCTAATAAAACGATTTAAAAAAAAGGGGAAACATGCCAAACAAACCAAAAAAAAACCAGTATATATTAATATAATTTGACTCCTCCCCAGAATTTAAGATACAACTAAGAAGGTGCTATTCAATATATTTAACTGCTACAAACCTAGGCTATAGAAATGGAGTAAGGTTTTTTGCATGTGCTGTGCTGTGTCAAATGCTACCATTTTAGTAGCTGGATCCCGAGTGAGGCAGGTTGGGATGGCAGATCCAGGTTAGCGGAGAGACCTGCTGGACAGTGACTATTTACTAGCTAGTTTGAAAAGATTTTAACACTGTTATGTCTATACTATTGCATATGGCTAAATAGCAGCTCTGCTTTTAAAGAAATGTTCATAAACTACAGGAAGTGGGAGACTCAGTTTAAATCATTCATTGCCATAAGATTTTATATATATATATTGTTTTGCATTAGAAAATTGGCTGTTTTAATTTTCTCAATATTTTCATTTTAAGAGTAAACACAATGCTCTCCTTTGCTCTCTTTGGATGTCCATGTCTTTAAATAATAAATTTTCATGTAATTAAATAAACTTACTTTTTTCTGCTTACAAATACAATAAATTATATAAAAATTTTAATTACCAAAGTCATTGACATACAGGCTTTCTAAATTTCTGCTCCATCTCGTAAAATAAATATTTTCAGTGGTATTTTGTTTACTTTTTTTGTTTACATAGACGAGCATTGTAATTGTTACTTGATTTAATAAACTAGATCATCCTATGAGCTATTCTCTGAATGGTTGTTTTATACATAGTAGTGCATCTTGGGCATTTGTACCTAGCATCACAGAGGGGCCCCATTCTTTCCTTCAGTGCTTGATCTTCCATTGAATGAATACAACAATCCCCGGTGATTAACGAGTGAATTTCTCCCCCCCCCCCCCCCACTTCTGAAAGGGTGTTCCTGGAGTTGGAAAAGAACAAGCGTTAAAACTTATACAGACTTTGAGAGGACAAAGTTTACTGCACAGGTAACTAAAAACTACCTTTTTGTGTGACATTGAACTTTTATTTTTAATTGAGCTTATTAGCCAATGTGTCATAAAGGAATTTATTTTCCAAAAATAGGATTTTATGTTAAACTAACCTATATTTTAAAATCATTTTTCATTTGTTCTGAAGCTTCACAAGAAAGGATGAGAATATATTCTTTCCCAAATATCATTGGCTTCCTACAAACACAATTAGTATGGTATCAAATGCACTTATTTTATGACCTGTTGCATTTTACTGCAGGCTCTCTCATGCTACTATAAAACCACATAAAGATAAACATGGCATTAAAATAACTTTATACTTAATGCTTTGTTGTTGTACTTTTGGTAAATGATGTCTGTGTTACTTGATAAATATTTAATCAGCACTTGATCAAAAATTTTGCTTGACCTTTTTTATAATTATACATTTAATTACGTAAAATAATTTAGACTACAATAATTTTAGAGTCAATATGAGGTTTCAAAAAGTTCGTGGAAAAATGATATTAAAAATATAATGGAATTTTTCCACAACTTTTTAAGCCTTCTGTATATTACATTGAAATTTAGGGACTGCTGTTTGCTGTCCAAAAGCATATGCGTTATGCTTACTTGGTGATCGCAGTGTTTTATAAAATTACTAGTGATGATGTTGAGATGTAGATAGAATACATAACATGGGATGCTAAGGGACTTAAAGCCCTCTTGGCCTCGCATGTTTGAGATGCTGGATGCTGGAAAAGCAACGATAAGTGGGAGAAATGAGGACGGAATAGCCTGAAAAACATTTCAGATCACTGTGATCTTACTTAGAATGTTTTGGGGTTTCTTGCCACTTTTTGATTGTTAATGGATTTAAGACCAGTTAAATCCATTATTGATACCAGTGATTCGTTTGTCAAAGCGGGAAAGCAAAAGTATACTTTGGCATTTGGGCAGAGTTGGCTCCTTCGGGGATTGCTAAGGATGGGGTGAAAGAGAACAAGCAGGTAGGATCCTTGGCTACAAGCCCTTCTTGTTGAAAATAGAGCCTGTAAATATGTACTTTTGGCCAACACTTGCCTTAACACTGAAAATAAAGAAATTACACATCTTACTAAAATGATCTATAATTCTAATTTTCACTAATTCAGACTGTTTTTCCTAGTTATTTGTAAATTTGAAGCCTATTATTTATCCAGCAGAAATGAGGCTAATTTTGACAAGCTTATAATTGGTCTTGGTAACAAATGAGTTAGAAATTCCAAATGTTTAATAAATGTTTTTAAGTGCAGATGCTATGCAGTGAACAAAAGACATAAGTTAGCTTTTTATTAAAGTTTTAACTTCCACAAGTAGAGGAACATGATTCATAACGCTTATGTTTTATTTTTAATACCTGACTAACCCAGTGGTGGGAGTTTCTGGTTGATACAAACAGTTACCACACCTGGCTACTAGCCTTAAGTTTGTAAGTTCAATTTCTACCTGGAAGCACCTCCATAAAAAGGCATGACAATCTACTAAGAACTCAGCCATTAAAAACACTATATTATATGTAGCTGTACTCTGACAAAAACACCATAAGTCCTAAATGACAGCTGGCTCTAGGGACTTTAAGACATTCGTGGAAAATTCCAT